CGGGCCGAGTCGGGCCGGCCCGACCCGAACCCGCTTTTGGCCTGTAATTTTCCGGTCGGGCCGGCCCGGCCCGACGAACGAACGGGCCTTGATTTGTGAAGCCCGAACCCGTAAATTTTACGGACGGATTCGGACCGGGTATCGGGCCTCGGGCTTTTTTGACACCCCTAATACATACAAACAAATAAATTATTGAGTTGTTGAATAGTAAATGTTTTTGCGGATATATAAACCTTCTCCTAAAGAAAAACACCAAATCTTTGATGACAAGAGAACGAAATTGCTAAATCTCCAACAACAAATCCCCATAAAAAGATCCTACATTTTCCATTTAAACGATATATGCAACAATATCAAAACGTGATACACAGAAAGGAAACAACAAAATCAACCCACCAAAATAGTTACGTTCTATGTTTTATTTTCTTCCGGATTTTCTTGTAACAAATCTTAAAGAGCCAATTTTTTATTTGATTCATTACAACATGTTATGATTTGATGTAATATAATCATAGTATAGAGAGATCTTAGAGCAAAAATTCACATTTGCGTATAATGGCATATAAGGAGCAAACTCATTATGATTCATGAACCTTAATTGCAAGGTCAACGGTGGGTACATGCAGAATATTTTTCTGTTAAACTGTTTTAAGAAACATTACGGTTTGTCTTGTCATGTAGGAAGATGACATAAATGAACACTTTGATTTATTTTATTCTCACGTCCCGTTGTTATATTAATTATTAAAACGCACCAATTATTACAATAACGTGCGATAGTTGTGATCCCTCCCTCCTAATCATCGTTTCTTATTAAATAAAGTCCTCATGGATTGAGTTTGTAATTAATTTGATTTTCAATGGGTATTTTTAATTATTTATTAAATAAAGATACATTACACAAACTTGCTCATTTTTCTTTTGTTGCAAAAGAATACTACTTTCACATTTTCGTGAAAAAGGAAAAAAGAAAAGAAAAGAAGTGGACATTTTTTGTGAAACGTAATATTACAAACCCAAGTAATAAATCGCTCACAACTTTTGTGGGCTACAAATTCAAAACCTTTAAAAGATACATTTTATATAAGAAAACCCAATTAAAAAAAAACAAATTCATTCATAAAAAACCCAATTTGAAAAGATACATTTTATATATAAAAAAAAAACTCAAAAAGGCAAACCGCAAATTATTCACCCGCTCCTACTTAACATGGTTACCGTAGTCCGGCTGTGAACACTTTTAAAACTGTGTACATCTCTATAATATCTTAACCTAACCTAATTACCGATTAACCGCACATCTATTTTTCAACCGCTAGAAACCGCAACCGCAATCGCTAATCAAGAACGACTGCAAAACTGCGATTGAAGTAAACAACAAAATCAAACAAGAGACCGACCAAACAAACCGATTAGATCAACATCATACATGTAAAAAAAAAAGGTTTTGAGGCGTTGTCATGTACAAATGGTAAGAAAACAAATACATGGAGAGAGAGAGTTTTACTTTTTTTACCTCAAGTAAATCTCTACATAACATCAAAGTTCAACACTTGGGGTTGAATGAACCACAGATTGTAAATCAAACCCCATGTAAGTTCCAGTTGCATATGATCAAGTTTTGGTTTTACTCTCTGTTCTAAGAAGTTCCTGAAACAAAAATCAATAAAAGGGGCATATGTAATAATTACCCTTATAGCAGAAGCACTTTGTCGAATAATAAGCTTCAAGGTTATCAAATGATTTTACCATTTTTTTGGCGGCAATAGATTGGCGTTGCTTCTCTTTCTTCTCATGTAAGCACTCTCCACACCAGCTCGAGAATTCCTTCTGATAGTTTTTCATCTCCCTGAATACCGAACTGCACGGAACAAAGCATAAAGGATTCAATAGCAATGTCGAATGGCATGATATTCCGAGGTCAAAGCTTCTCTATTACCTTCTGCACCAAAGAAGCATATTGACCCGATGACCAGATGTCGTAGCTCTTGCTCCATGGCGGTGGCGGCCACGGTGGAGTACAGCTTGTCCCGGTACATGACAATAATCAAAGATTTCCTGCTTTCATGAAAACTAGTTGCTTAAATTAGCACAGTCACAATTATGGCATTTTAACATAGGAAGAAAGCTCCTCAAAAGGACTAGCATACCTCTGACTTTGTTCTCGTATTCACATGTTTCTCACAACGTGTGCCTCGGAAAAATAACTCCCCTCCCACAAATTCTTTGCCCAAGCAAACATTCAATGTTACTTCTGAATCATCCACGTGAAAGCCTGCAGATGTAAAAGATTGCTGACATCTAATTAGTTTCATGTTGCTATTGAAGAACTCTGTTATCTCCCACGATATTTTTTTTTACAATCTCACCGTGGCTCAGAATCAACGGATATTTTTTGCATCTAGACCAGCTAGTGAGTTCATGTAAAAAACTATATCGACTCATTAGTTCAAAGTAAAAGCAAGAAACCGCAAGGGCTTACCCAAGTCAACATCCCTATCTTGGCCATATTCAACAACAAAGCCATGGTGAGAATCCAAAGTCGCTCCACCCACTTCAGGGAAGAATACTGCACAACCACGAAGGACAAGTAGCTACTTATAGCTCTTCTGAACATATTAAATGGTTTTTGAATAAACTCTAGTCATTTATGTAATGTATATTGCCTTTGGAAATAGGACGAATAAAACCCTCCATGAGTTTTTCTAGCATGCTTTCCAGGCCAAAGTCATCAAGCACAGCCCCGTATTTATTCATTGTGTTTGGTCTCATGATCCGAAATTTCGCTTCGTTAACCCATTTTTCAAAATTTTCCACCTGATAAGTAAATCAGCCGCACGTAAACAAGATGTAAAAGGAATAAAGAAAACAGAGAGTAAACGTTTCACCATGTGTGGGAGGATGGGAATTACCTCAGACAGCATCATCTCACAAAAGCTAGGCTGGAGCATTTCGAACACAAACACCCCAGGAGATGGTTCAGAAATTATGCTTCTGAAGCTTTCCTCTGTATTTTCATTGATCGCCTTCAGGAAAGACGGAAGGAAAAAGAATGTGGGATGAAGAGTATACAACTCCCTGTGAAGTGGCTGAAAAGGAAAACATTTTCATTGACTTTTCCTTGCAAGTAGAAGATCTAAGAAAGCGTCTAGACGAGATGAATGCTAACCAAAGTGAATCTCGGGCTAACAAAGTAACAGAATAGGGAAAACAGCAAAGCGCAAGGCTTCTTACCTGATAATTTGATATAATCTTCTGTCTGTATTCTCTATGCCTTTGAGCCTGAAACATGTCATGGAAATGAAACAACTTTGAACAATTCTGAGCCTTGCAATGATATTCAACAAGAATTTATCAATGGACAGTTTCAGCAGATATAAATCTCGAGGATCACAAACAGGAAAAAAGAGTTTTTTACATGCAACGTGTTCATTATCCAAACAAGATATGCTTCTGAAAAAACACCAAACAAAAGCAGGACCCTTTTGAAACACCAAAAGCTCGAGGTCATACTGATCTGTACAAACGTGACAAATATCGTGATCTTAAGACAGTAAAGATACGTGAAACTGGCACGAATCGCCATAGAATCCATGCAATCCAGTATTCCGAGCTTCCCAAGCAATTACCATTTCAGTCAATGTGTCAAAAAAAAAGAGATGGAATTGGAGAAATGGATCGAAACTGGAAGGAGTATTACTCTGGAACGTTCTCCATGGGGAAGGTACTTGAGCAGAATGTCCGTCATGAACTTCACCTTGTCGTCCCTCTTCGATCCAAGCATGCCCGGAGGCAAGTACTTCTCCAGAGAACTATAAATGCAGGAACTGAAATCTAGCTGCAGATCCTCGTAACTGTCGGGCCTGTGCTCCTTGTTAGGGTTCAGCCTCAGCCTCTGGCTTGGCACCACCGTAACCGCTGCGACCACCGGAGACGGGGCCGCTGGAGGATGCAGAGGAGCTCCGCCACCGACAACAGCCCCGTTACTGTCCCCTACCATCTCTTGCGAACCTTCCCGTCGGTCACCGGACATTGATCGTGTGTCACTCCAGACAGGGAATTCAGATGAAGACTAGGTATCCGAACACTGCATTCCGATGAGCCAAAGATCCAGAATTTCGCAGAGAATCAAAATCAAGCTTCTTCTTCTTCGTTTTCCTCTCGATTTGGGTACTTTGATTTTGGGTTTCCGTTGAAGTTAGGGTTTCTTCAGCGTTCACTGTTTCCCCAAGAAAGTTTTTTTTTAACTATACGAACAGTGTATTCCCTCGCACGCGATCTGGGAGCGCGTGTCGACCACGTGACTGCAGGGTAACCTCTTGGCCCATTTATACTGCAAAAAAACGCCCGGCCCATAAAAGTTCCAAACAAGAAATTCGGTTTACAATCAACCACACAAATCGGACTAAACCGAACCGAACCGGTATTTTCGGATTGTTCGGATGGAGAGAATAAAACGGCAACGGAGAACCGAAAATCGAGCGAAGCGAAAATAAAAAGAGAAAGGTATTTGGCAATTTGCCCATGAACATCACCAGAAGCATCCATATACATACTTCGAGTTCTGAATCGAATTTTGTGTCAATACAGTCTCCAATCTGTTCAAATTCTTTAATGTTTTCCCGATTTCTGGGTCCTGAGGTTCTTCTCTCATCAGGGGAGAGAAATCAACGAGCTTTTCTGTCTCCGGCGTGGAGATATGACGCGAGGAGGTCAAAAAGTGTATGAATTTTGTCCAGTTGGTCGATCGCTTATGTTGTTTGTTTATATTCGTGTTTTTTGATTTGGGCTTAGGTTTAGGGTTTTGTTTCATTCCAGGCTCCGGATACAGTCCCAAATCGTTGTTGGCTTTGTAATTTTCTGCTCTTTACCGTGTTTATGAGAGTTGAATCAAAAGTTTTCAGCTTCGTCACTTTTCCTTTGTTATACATGCCAGTACCCTGTAAAATAAACAGTTTCTTGATTTTACATTTCCATTTTGATTGATACACTGTGTGCTTCCGGGAGGAAAAAAATTCAGTGAATGTGGCTTTGAGTTATATGCCTCAAGCCTCATAGTAGATTTGTTTGATTGCAAACCAGGAAAAGAGAAGAAAAAAAAGTGTTCGAAAAGAGTGAATTTAGAGTTTAGGGAGAGAAAAAAGAGATTGTGGAAAGGTTCGGTTCCATGGGGAGTGACCAAAACAATTTGAAGAGATATGGAATAACGGAACCGATTTCTTGGGGTGGACCGGCTGAGTATGATGTCATAAAAACTCGGGAGCTTGAGAAGGTTAGCATCGTTGATTGTACCTCCATTTATCGTTTCCTTAATACCGGTCTCGGGTCCAATCCTGAATTCGGTCGTGTGTTTGTGTTTGTTGTGTGCAGTATCTGCAAGATGTCGGATTATATGAGAGCAAGGAAGAGGCTATGAGCAGGGAGGAAATTCTGGGGAGACTAGACCAGGTTTTAGTCTCTGCTTTACCCTCTTGTTTTAGTTCAAAATCTTCAGTTTCTATGCTTAATATTGTCTAGAGGTTCTTTATCATTTGTTGAGTTGCTTAGCTTCCCAAAATATATTTGAAGTGGGCAATATATAGACTGTAGTTAGAGTAGCAAATGAATTTGATTGCTGCTTACCATAAATATAGTTGTGTGAGCTGAGGAGAATGTGCTATTTTCTGATGCTGATTGAATCCTCTGATGGTATCCAACACAGATTGTGAAGAGTTGGATTAAAGCAACTAGTCGTGCAAAGGGACTGAATGAGCAGCTGGTTCAAGAAGCAAATGCAAAGATTTTTACTTTTGGTTCTTATCGGCTTGGGGTACGATAAAGAATTATAGTTTGTGTTGCTTTGACATTTTGGAATATCTGATGAAAGAAAGATGCAAACTTGTGGGATGGATTTGTGCTTCTCAACTATGCAATTTTTGTACTGGGATACTACATTGGTACAGAATGAGGTTTTGTGAATTATTCTTGCTTTCAAGTTGTTTGGTCTGAAGGGAAAGCCTCACGTCAAGGTGGTGGTCCTGGATAAATATTTATCCTTTTCCTTTCTGATCTTTTTTTTATTAATGTTTTTTTTTCTTTCTCAAACATTGTTATGCTCCATCCTGAGCATATCTTTTTATTTTGTATGATAACAGGTTCATGGACCCGGTGCTGATATAGATACTCTATGTGTGGGACCCAGACATGCAACACGGGAGGTCCGGTCTCAATCTGCCTTATGTGTTGCTCAGCTACTTTTGTTCCTCAAATGTTTTATAATTTGATGAGCTTTGTATGGTTTGAGCATAGGAGGACTTCTTTGGTGAGCTTCATAAGATGCTCTCAGAGATGCCTGAAGTCTCAGAACTGCACTCTGTTCCCGATGCCCATGTCCCAGTGATGAAATTCAAGTTTAATGGTGTTTCTATAGATCTTCTTTATGCCAGGCTCTCTCTTTGGGTTATCCCTGAAGTAAGTGTTGATTTTGAGAAGAACTTTAATCAAATATGTTTTCTATGTAAATACCCATATTCCTCTTCAAAGGAAACCAGGTACCTTATTGTTTTGTTCATGTGTTTTCATCTAGAGGACAGTTTGGTTGTATTGCATGTATTGGACATACTGATACAGCGTTATACCGATCTTTGATTGATTATTCTAATTGAGTGATAGCTGCATAAAGTTTTGAAACGATCATTCTCAACATGCTGATGCTAATACAGGACTTAGACGTTTCACAAGACTCGATGAACAGACAGTTCGAAGTCTTAATGGTTGCAGGGTTACCGACCAAATTTTGCGTTTGGTACCAAACATACAGGTATATATGTTCATTGCTTAATTCAATATTTTCTTCGAAGGTTTCCATAGTTTTACTTTGATATTTGTATGTCTTGAACTTTAATGTTCTCATGATTTCTGCAGAGTTTCCGCACAACTTTAAGATGCATGAGGTTTTGGGCCAAACGGCGTGGTGTTTATTCAAATGTGTGGATACCGTTTTCTTTCATATTTATTGTTATGTCCATTCCCATCATTGGATTCCCTTTTTTTCATATTTATTGTTATGTCCATTCCCATCATTCCCTGGTAGTGGTTTCTTCTCGTATGTGGCACGTTTCTGGATTCCTTGGTGGCATAAATTGGGCATTGCTTGTAGCTCGCATATGCCAGCTATATCCTAATGCACTTCCCAACATGTTAGTTTCTCGCTTTTTTAGAGTTTATACACAGTGGCGTTGGCCAAATCCCGTGATGCTTTGTGCCATTGAAGAAGGATCTCTTGGTCTTCAAGTGTGGGAACCCAGAAGAAATCCGAAGGATAGGTCACATTTGATGCCTATAACAACTCCTGCATATCCATGTATGAATTCTAGCTATAATGTCTCCACAAGTACTTTACATATAATGATGGAGGAATTTCAGAGGGGTAATGAAATATGCGAGGTATGGTTCTTTTGAATTCTGTTTTATATTTTATATAATCCTTCGAATGATAACGATTTCAGTGCAGTGTCTGGAAGATATGATTGTGATTCTCTTCACTTCTTGATTGGTTTTGTCTGCAGGCCATGGAGGCAAACAAGGCTGACTGGGATTACCCTTTTTGAGCCGTATCTGTTCTTTGAAGCATACAAGAATTATCTACAGATAGATATTTCTGCTGAAAATGATGATGATTTGAGAAATTGGAAAGGGTGGGTTGAATCACGCATTCGTCTACTGGTTCTGAAGGTGAATGAATATTCACTTCTGCATGTTGATGGTTTTCTCCGTGCTTTTTGGCTTTCTTACCCGACCATGGAATGTGAATTTTACTAATAATGCTATGCTTCTTTTTCCAAATCTAGATTGAGAGACACACTTATAATATGCTTCAGTGCCACCCCCATCCCCATCCCGGTGAATTTCAAGACAAATCCCGATCTTCCCATTGTTGTTACTTCATGGGTTTACAACGAGCACAAGGGGCCTCATCAAATGAAGGTGGACAATTCGATATTAGGTTGACGGTTGAGGATTTTAAGAGATCTGTCAATATGTACAATTTTTGGAAGCCTGGGATGGAGATCTGTGTGTCACATGTGAAATGCAAGAACATACCTAACTTTGTCTTCCTGGGTGGGGTTCGGCCTCCAAGACCTGCTAAATCAACTTGGGACAGTAGAAAAGCCTTAGAACAGAAGGCTTCCATTTTTAATGGACAGGACAAAAGCCCAGAAGGTAATTCTGACGGCAAAAACAAGAGATCACGAGTGGATGATTGTAGTGACGGTCAATCAAGAACCGCTAAGCACATTGCTCTAAGTCAAGGTGAAACAAATGAAGGTGTCCCTTCTGCTGGAAACAGGTTAGAAGACCCGGCAATCCAAAAGATCGAGACTAATGTGTCAGATGGCTTAGGAGACTCAAAAAGCATCGATAATTCAGTTTGGGTCAGTGAGAGTAATGATGGGTCGGTAAAGGATGAGCCATCTAGTGAAGTTGTATCTGAGTCTAATCTTGGCAGAACAAGCTCAGTGGAAAAAGAGAGTCTGACATTTGAGAAGATAATGTCAGAGTCATATGTATTGAATCAAGCGATTCTCCAAGAAGTTGAGGAACTTGAAGATGATTTTGATTTTGACATCCACGTGAAAGACGATGGCTCAAAGAGCAACCAGTTGGTGTCTTCTTCTGTAGGAAATGATGTAGTAGCTGAAGGAGAAACATCTAGCAATATCGCCTGTTCTTCCAATGGAGCCCTCGACGAATTAGAGGTCTGTTCCTTCAAACCTTTTCTTGATTTTGGTGATTTCTTCTCGTTGCGTCCATTCAAAACTTTTTGCACTGTGTTTCAATGGTGATGAAGCCGCCTGAGCTTGCTGCACCTGAACCGTGTATATCATCATCAGCCGCTGTACCAGTTCCAAAGGGAAAGCCAATAATCAGGTAAAAGTCCCTCCTTCCTTTTCATATCAAAACCCCTAACAACATCTACCAATTCCTGGAATGATATATATTCAAACTATTCACAAATCGATCTGATATTCTCAGATTGAGTTTCACTTCTCTGGGCAGAGGCAGAACCTCTGGGAAGAACACGTGAAGCTCTCTCTCTCTCTGGTTCCTGTTTGGTTGTATGTATTCCTTCTTAGTTCTCTAACTGTTATAAAGACTCGATCCCATTCTCTGCTTTCCCTTTTTTTTTGGTCAATGGGCAACAAAATAGTGAAGAAGGAAGACCATAACACCAAGTCACCTTTTTCTCTGTTCTCTTGTTTCTGAACCCAAAAGCTCGTTATTACAAGAGTGTTGTTCAGATTGAAAACATTAACAAAACTCTAGGTCTTTGTATCAGCACAGCGGAGGGAACAGAAGAAACGATTGTGGCGCTTGAAAGCGAGAGCATCTGGGCAGTGGCGGCTACAGTTGTGGCACAATGGACGATACCTACTCACGCTGTTGGCGACAATATCAAACTCCTCATCATAATAAGTTTTAACGCATCGACCTGTCTTGGCATACGGGTAGCTTCCCAATACACAATCTGCATGAACGCACTCCTCTTATGTGTAGAACCATGATGTCGGATCCATCTCCGCCTCACAGATTTCGCACCACTCGCTTCTTCTCCACAACAAAGGGTGAGTAGATGTCTGTCAAACTTGTACCTCGCGGTATCCGGTAGAGTTGCGCATTTGTAACACAGATGGAAGCCGCATTCTTCAGTGTCCCAACGGAAAAAGCACTTGAGGACGAAATACGGTTTCTTTCTGCATGCTCCACATGTGATTGCGTTGTACCCTTGTCGGGAATTAAAGAACAATGGATGGTCATGACCCTTGTGATTCAAGGGCTCGAAGATCGGAGCGCAACGTACGTCCATTATGAAATGAGGAAAAGCGTCCTCAAAAGTCGAGGGCAGACGTAAATCGACGTGATCTCGAGTGAAACTTTCCTTGTGGCACACGTACCTGAACCCGCAAGAGAAGCGAGAACAAACATGACAAGACAACGATAAATGCCTCTCTATTTGCCACCATCGAAAGAGATATCTCCAGCTTGCAGAACAAGGTGTGGATGTGATCCATGCCTTTTTTTCCGAGGAAGGTTGGCGCATTCTTCGTGGAGATAGAACCCGCAATCGCTGGAACAGATTGGAAGCAGACAAGCCTGACATCGATTGATTGCGTCCCAAGCAATCAGGCGTTCTTCAGCAGTAGTGAAGGATCTGAGATGGTGATGGTCATGGCTGAAATGGCGTATCAGTCCTTCCCCTATGACCTCGAAGGGCTCGATATCTTCCAACTCTTCTTCGGGTACACCCTCGAGTTCTTCCCGGTCCCACACATCTTTACTCGTTGCACATAACGAATGGGCAACATAGCCACAATCCTTAGTGCTGGAAAAGGCTCTGTACCTGCCGTCGACCCCTATATGACAACTCCGGCAAACCCATTGCTCCGTCGCAAGAGGAAGAGAAGGAGCCCACGAGATGCGGTGTTCGTGGCGGGAGATCCTTATGACACGTGGCAAGTCGAGACACTCTTTATGGACCATGTAATCGCAGGGGAGACACGTACATACAGGGAAATGATGACGGGAGATCCCACAGGCATTGCAAGTGAAGAAGGATTCTCAGGGAATAGATCGAATCACATCTTCGACGGACATTTTTACCAGATTTGTTTTTTGTATCTTTTGAGTTGGTCAGGGAGTATATGACTTTGGAACATAGCATATATATTGTCTATATATGTATACATACACCAAGTATGCACGTAGAACGTGCGCGTGGATCAGGATTCGTCTGAGCATTTGGGCTTGAGATCACCCGATTATAAAAAAAAAAAGAATGCACATAGAAAAATATATATTTTAGTGATTATCAATAACAGTGATAAGAAAAATCCCAGGTCTTGACATTTTCATTTGTAATTGCGGCTTCTGGCTAGCGCAGAAGATGTGCTGTCTGAAATCACAGATGAGACATTGATAAAACCTCATACCGATTCTTACCAAAAAAAACCTCATACCGATGCGTCTGTGACACCAGTTGCAGTCCTCGTTGGTTCGAAAGATATATACTTGTAGTGATGAGATCGAGATTGTGCCTCGGATGATAAGGATGATCCAACGGCTCTGAAGCCTCGGCGCATTCCTTGTGGAATGCCAATGAGCAGAGCCGTCTCAAACATTTACGGGGCCCTGTACAAAAATATTTATTTTTATATAAAAAAATTTAAAAGTCAAATATTTAAATATAATTTAATTATGAATTGTATTAAAATATTAATATAAACAATTGTAATTTACAAAATAAAAATTTATCAAAAATAACATAATTGTATCATTTTTCACTTAAATAACATCATTCTTTTAACTTTATTTGAAGCAAAAATATCTACTAGGTCTTCATAATTGATCTTCTCTAAAAAACTGTTCTCTATTGCGATTAATGATAATCCATTAAGCCTTTCCTGGGACATCGTAGAACGTAAATATGACTTCAATAACTTCAATTTTGAAAAACTTCTTTCTGCAAAAGCGATAGTCACGGGAACAGTTAGTAAAATTCTATAAGCAATCATCACATTAGGAAAACAATCCATACGTTTTAAAAAATTTAAAACATCGATAGGTTTCATAATTTCTTTAGGCAAAAATTCTTTTAATAATTTCAACTCTATATATAGTTCGTTTCCATCAATATCAGAGTCTTCATCTTTTCTAAGAGCTGTCTCAAATGCATTACAACATGATTTCAAATTTGAATCATCAAAAGAATATAACTTTTCTGGAGTAAATAAAAAACCAAATATATTTTCATATTTTTTAGGAAAAATGACATTTTCCTATACGAATTTATCAAAATGTGACGTTTTCCTATACGAATTTTTAATTTGACAAATGTCTATACCCAATTAACAAATTTTCCAAATCCATACACGAATTATCTAATTTTATTGCAATTAACTACACAGTCCGAAATTATCCATTAATTGCTGACGTGGAAGGCCATGTGGCGACTGACGTGGCATGCCACGTGGAATTTTTTACCATGTCAGCACGAATTAAAAAAAATAAAAAATAAAAATAAATATATTTGTATGTATATATATATATATTTGTATAAAATTTAAATTTATACAATATATATTTTTAAAAATTTATACAAAATTTAAATTTATATACATACAAATATATATATATATATATATATGAATATACACATGTACAAAATTTAAATTTATATACAACAAATACATAAATATATATATGTATATATATGTATTTTTTTATTTTTTATTCTTAGGGAAAGTTTTTTTTTAATTTTTTTATTTTTTAATTCATGTTGACATGGCAAAAAAACCTACATGGCATGCCACGTCAGCCGCCACGCTGCCTTCCACGTCAACAATTAATGGATAATTTCAGACTGTGTAGGTAATTGCAGTAAAATTGGATAATTCGTGTATGAATTTGGAAAATTTGTTAATTGGGTGTAGACATTTGTCAAATTAAAATTCGTGTAGAAAAACGTCACATTTTGATAAATTCATGTAGAAAAATGTCATTTTTTCTATTTTTTATATTGTTCAAATCTTTTATTAAATGAACTAATTGCTTGATCAATAATATATAAAAAATAGTTGACCCTAAATAGTTCTTCGGAAGAAAATGAAATAATCGACGATTCATTATTTAAACTTTCATCTGAATATCGTTTTCTTTTAATTTCATGTCTTTTTGGAAACACAGGATCTACATCTATTTCCATGGCAATAATTTTAGCAGTTTCTAAAGCACTAGAAAACCAGTTTCTCGGTAATTTAAAAAAAAACAAATCAAACCTTTTATCTTTTCAATAGCAACATCAATACACATATCACTTGATTGTAAATGTTTACTAACCAAATTAACTGTGTTTAATATTTCAAACCAAATAACTATTGCCACCAAAAACTCAAAATCACCAAAGTTCATTTATAGCTAAAGACTTAGCTTCACTTCTTATTTTAGAATCATTATCATTTTCAGATACTTCAAGCAAAGCTTCTCTTATCTCCGAAATTTGAAATCTGATGGCTTTAACACTTTCAACACGACTTTCCCAACGAGTTGAAGACAATGGTTTCAAAGATAAACCTTTTACATTATCTTTCAAAATTTGCCACCTTTTAGTAGAATTGGCAAAAATTGTATAGATACGTTGTATGACTCCAAAAAAATCTTTAGATTTACTACAACTATTAGCCATATCACATAATGTTAAATTTAGACTATGAGATCCACACAGAGTATAAAAAGCTCTAGGATTCATGTCTAAAAGTTTTTTTTGTACACCTTGATTTTTTCCTTTCATATTTGATCCATTATCATAACTTTGTCCTCTTATGTTATCTATATCAAGATCAAGTAATTTTATTTCATCTTGTAACACATCAAAAAGTCCTTGACCACTTGTATCATTCACATTTAGAAATCCTAAAAATGATTCTTCAATATTAATGGGATTAGAAGAGACATCTACATACCTGAGTATCAAAGACATTTGTTCTTGGTGACTAACATCTGGAGTACAATCAAGTATTACGGAAAAATATTTTGCTTGTTTTATATTCTTTATTATCTCTTTCTTAATTGTAGAAGCAAGTAAAAGTATTAATTCATTTTGAATATTATGACCAAAATAATGATGATGAATTTTATCATCCGTTATACGTCTAACATGTTCTTGAACAATTGGATCAAATTCATTCAACATTTCAATCAACCCTAAAAAAATTCCATTACTATTTTCAAACAGTTTCTCATTAGTACCACGAAATGCTAAATTATGTTTTGCAAGGAATTTTACAACTGAAATAATTCTAAAAATAACATTTTTTCAATGATCTTTTTCTTTCATAAGTTGTGTACGAGCTACTTTATCAATAGTTTGATTCTTTTGGAATCGTAAACGCAAATCATACCAAGTTGTCAGATTTTTTAAATATTCTACACTCATTTCATGTTCTTTAAGTCTAATAATAATATGTGTCCAATCTCCAAAACATTCATTTGCTAATTGACCTTTTCCAATATTTTTTTTTTAAATATTTTGCAACAAAAACAAAAAACTTTGTCAAGTTCTTTCGAATATACAAGCCAATCCCTATTATATTTTTCACCGTTTGGTAAAATTCTTGTATAACACGTTGAAGAAAACCGTCTAGAATATTTATCTTTTTTACCTTTTTCAATTGACATGTCCCGTTTAGGACCATTTTCTATCAAAATATCAATCATTTTAGAATCAAGAATATCCCAATTTATTGGATAAAAAATATCAAGCATATCGTTAGATTCAGATGACTTACCTTCTCCACATTTTTTAGATCAAAAGTATTAAACATATCATTCTCTTCAAAAATATTTTTTTCATTTTGTATATCATTACCATCACTAATACTATCACTTTCATTTATATCTACTATATTATTAGAACATTCACTTTTATTTTGAGTAGAAGTTTGTGATTCTTTCATGATAAATTTATCAAGAGCTCCTTTTTGAGATTGAATCAACTCTTCAACTCTTCTTTTTTTCTTACGTTTTTCACATCTAGATTCATATTTTCTAATTCCAGATGACATAATTAAATACATTTTTAAAAAATTTAAAAAAAATAAGAGAACGAAAAAACCTGGAAATTTATGAATCAACTTAATGTGATCCAAATAAACTTTATCTTTTTGTTAAAGAATAACAAATCTGCAATGCAATAATAATGTTATCATTAGAAAAATAAACATTGATAATATTTGTTGAAAATATAAAAAAAAACTAAAAATAAATATATTACCTTAATTGTGATGTTCGCATAATAAAAAGTGTAAACCAATGAGAAGTATGAGAATGATTTTGTTATGAAGCTTTAGAAATAGATAATGCAAGATTAGGTAGATTCACTTTGTATTTATAGACAAAAAATTAAAATTATTAATTAAAAATATAATATCGTAACGTTCATAAACGACTAAAAAGTTAGAATTCTTAATAATAAATATTATAAAGATATTCTCCACCTAATTTGAAGGAAAAAAGACTCAATAAAATCTGATTTTCATTATTTATTAAATTTATATTAAGAAATATTAATTCATTAAGACTAAAATATTTTTTAACTATGGGGCCCACCTAAATTGGGGGGCCCTGTGCTAAATTGCACCTCCTTTAAGCCGGCCCTGCCAATGAGTACTGTCTGCACAAATAGAAAGGAGTGCCTTCTTCGCCACTCATGTGAAAGGAGCAGGCGTTGCATTCGTATCTTCCATGCCTCGCGAGGGTCAGAGGGTGAGGGTAAAACGGTAACTTCACCGGCTCCATCTCCATTGCCGAGCTTCTGGGATCATGGATTCTCCTCCTCCCCCCTATTTTCGCAGCCAATCTCTTTTCCTTTGTGTCATATATGTGATTGTGGAGGGGATATATATATATATATATATAGTCAAACAAAAAATCTATCTTTATTTTAATAGACGAGAGCAGTTGGATTGGTGGTAATTAGTTGGCTT